CGGGCTCAGGCAATCCACTCACCTCAGCCTCCCAAAGGCGTGGGATTACAGGCTGAGCCACCAAGCCCAGCTAACAACCAGTTTTCATCAACAAGAGTTGGTAAGTTGGTGTTGTCCTTAGACATTTTACATGGACTCTTCTAGATTAATTAAGAGTATGCTGTTAAAACTAAATACTACTCACCAAGCACTTGGGGAGATGAAAGAAGTAGGTGTGAAAGCCACAGAAAAGGGATTCCATCTTGTATTGAATATCTGTTTTACTTTGTAAACAATAAAGCATAGGAAGTTGGAATTTAAGCTCACACCACTGGGTGCAGAATCAACCATCTCTTGAAAAGTCCTGGGGGAAAAGGCAGCTGCCCTTGAAATGCCATCACAGTATTTAATCAGCAATACCACCCGAGCTCACATACACGAAAGTTGGATGTACTTAAAAGTTCTTCAAAAGGGAAGTTTTCTATTCTGCCACATGTCACTAGAGAGCCTTCTTCAGTCTTGTCTTTTAATCCCCTCACTCCCCCCTCCACGCCTTTATGGAGCAGAGTTCAATTTTCTGAGGCCACTCAGAGAGGACACACACTTTGTCATCTCCTAGACATGTAGCATGACCAGCCCCCTCATTCCCGTCTAGCCTTTGGGGGTTTCAGGAAGTGAGTGACAAGATCCAGGTTGATCTGAATGACTCCAGTTCACAATCTCTCTGTTGCCTTCCAAATGGGTGGGGAGATTGTCTAGCTCCTTTCAACGACTGACAAATATTTGTTGAGTACACAGATGTGAACAATCCAGACATAGTCCCATGCCCCTGTGTGCTGTACAGTAAAGGCAGACATTAGATAAGAAATTGCCAGAATGGGTGAGGGGATTATCATGAACAGCTGAAAGTCTATCCTCATTTCTTAAGAAGGAGCCCTGGGCTTCCAGGCACAAACCCCCACTTTTTCTCCATGGCCATCTCTCAGGCTGATTCTTCTCTATAATCAACTCGACGCCAGCTGTGTGTACACAGCTTGCTGTGGCGAGCATCTACAATTCAGGAAGTCGTTTTTGGCAGGACAGGCAAGGGCTATATGGATCCTGAAACCTGCCAGAATTGTCTCAAAAGCAAATGTTATTTGCTTGGTGAGATTCCTTTCCCGACTTTGGGCTGTGTTTTTTCAGATTCAGGACTAAGAAGAATCCCATTTGCATAGATTTAAAAGGAAGTGTTACATTCTTCAGTTCTGGTCGGCATAGCAGGACACTTGGCTTGTGCTGTGTCCTTTATTTCTAAAAGAATAACCCACAGGCAAGCATTTTATGGTTTCTGGCCTCATCCCATTTATACGATATAACATCCTTATAGCCAATATGAATGAGCTCAGCAGTTGTGAACAGAATGCAACGATTGTCTTGATCCATTAATATTTTAAGAAACAAGGGGTGAGGATTCAGGTGAAAAATAGACATGAATAACCATGGAAGTCATTGGGCTTTTGTTGAGTCACTTTTATTTGGGATTATTTTGCTTTCAGATATTTGACTAAATTACTGAAATGTTGACAGTTTTTCCATATACAGTCTTCATCTTATTCTTTAGAACATATGCCTACGTCTTTCCATTTTAAAAGGGCTCACGAGAAAGCAAAGAGCATGTCGTACAACCTGGCGGGTTAACTGGATGGACTCTGGGGTCCCTCTGAGCTCCCAGTTTTTAAAATAATGCTCTGAATCTACAGGATTTTATTTGTTTTATTGTTTTATTTGTTTATTTGTTTTATTGGTCTTTATTATTTACTATTAATTTTTTAGTTTGAGTCTCACTCTGTCACCCAGGCTGGAGTGCAGTGGCATGATCACAGCTCATGGCAGCCTCGACCTCCTGGGCTCTGGCGAGCCTTCCTCCTCAGCCTCCTGAATAGCTAGGACTACCGGCATGCACTACCGTAGCCCTCTGATTCTTTTATTTTTACTTTATTTTTATAGAGATGAGGTCTTGCGGTGTTGCCTAGGCTGGCTAGAGGTTTTTAAAAATACAAAATTCAAATATCTTCGGAAGCAGATGGAGTTTTTCATTTTGTAAAGTTATCGCCATCCCTCTTCTTCAAGCCCAGCTGTGAAAAATGTTTATCCGCTAGAGTTCCACCCCTCCCTAGGTTTGGCAATACTCATCTCCAGAGCCCTGGAGAAACCTCCTCCAGGAGGCCCACCATGCTCACCCACCACCTCCTCCCTCAGCCCACATCAGCCAGTAGCCTTACCTTGCTGGAATGACGTGGCCTGCAGCTGGCCATGGACCCATGGCTCACCCCAGTTGAGCCTGAGGCCTGGTACAGCCCACAGCTCCAGAAAGATGTAGTTTCTTCCTGAAGGGGTGGGACCTTGGCAAAGAGAATGCTTTCTTCCAGACGTTGCTACTTAACCCCGTTTGCCATTTGGCTCGATTCCCTGTTTGTCCAGAGAAGATCATAGTCCTAGGCCTTGCCAACATTTTTATGTGCTGCTTTGGGAAGTGGAGGGGTGGAGCCAAAATTTCTAATTTTTAAGGATGCTGCTACAATGAAAATTAAAAGGGGGATGTACATAAGTATGTGGAAAATGTTTTCTGGTTTATTATCTATAGTTTAACAATATACATTTTCATTTAAAATTATAAATTTTCTTCCCACTATAACTCTTCCCCAAAGTTTTCTCTTTTTTGTCTTGAGTCAAGATCTGGTAGAAGAGAGAGAATATTGAGTGAGTCAGGGATGTAGGCTCAAGTATAGCCCTGCCATTAACTTGCTGTGTGACTCTGGCAAGTCTCTTAGCATCTCTGAGCTTCATTTTCCTTTTCTCGTAAAATTATGCTTGTAAATTGGGGGAGAGGTGGAGGGTGGTGAGCCGGATGATCTCCAAAGCCCCTTCTAGCGTTGCTGCTCAAAGGTTCAAACTGTGACCTCTAATGTTCTCTATGATGTTTGTGATTGGACTTGAGTCCTTTGCTTTTTTGTTAAGGCTGGATTTCCAATTTGATCTCACTCTGTGGGTACTTGCTGTATGATGAAGGGACTTTCAAGAACTCCCACCCTGAGTCGGGCACAGTGGCTCACACCTGTAATCCCAACATTTTGGGAGATGGAAGTGAGAGGATTGCCTGAGTCCAGGGGTTTGAGGCCAGCCTGGGCAGCTTGGTGAGGCCTCTTCTCTACAATAAATCAAAAAATTAGCTGGGTATGGTGGCACATGCCTGTAGTTCCAGCTTCCTGGAAGGCTGAGGCGGAAGGATTGCCTGAGCCCAGCAGGTCGAGCATGCCACTGCACTCTAGCCTGGGTGACACAGAGTGAGACTCCAACTCAAAAAAAAAAAAAATCCCCATTGCCAGATCTGCCTTGGTCTCCTAGATAGATCTGCCTCAGCCTCCTAGATTCTCCTGCTCAAACTAAAATTCTATTTTAACTTGATCAAAATAATATAAAATTACAGAAAATTTTAGCAAAAGAGGAAAGAACACAATTTAACTTAAATATAACCACTCAAATGCATCACCATTGTTTTTCTGAATTCAAGTCTTCTGTGTAAGCATGTTTTATGTGTTTATTGTCATAGTCTTGGTACATATCTCCTGCTTTTCTCAGTTGACATTCTATTACATCTTTTTCCATATTGCTAACTAGTCTTCATCCACGTGACCTTATGTCCACCTTTATGACCACATAACTCCCTTATATGATGGATTATAGCTTCTCTAACCACTTTTCTATTGCTGGACATTCAAGTGATTTCTAATTTTTCATTATTATTAAAAGTGCTACAAGTTACATCTTCATTTTTACAGATTTTTTCCATATTTTGAATTGATTCCTTTTGAGAGACTCTTGGACCCAGAATTGCTAAAACAAGTCTTAGGATACATATTGGCAGACTGCTTTCAAAAGAATTGTGCCAATTTATGATGCCACCAATAACATATAAGAGTAGAAGTTGTGCTATACTGTACAGTATTAGCAACAACTGATCATTTATGTGCTAATATACACACATATATAGAAAGTGGCATTATTCCATTAATTTGCATTTTCTTGCTATTTACTGAGATTAAATATTCTTCCAAATGTTTCATCACTGGCTGTATTTTTGGTGAATTTTCTGTTCTTTCCCTTTGTTTATCTATTGAATTCCTAATATCATTTCTACCTACTTACATGAGTTTTTCTTAAATAAAAACTTTCATCTTTTTTTCTATCATTTTCTACAAATACTTCCCCATTTGTCTATCTTTTTTTTTTTCTTCTTGAGTTGGAGTCTCACTGTCGCTCAGCCTGGAGTGCAGTGGCACGCTCACAGCCACTCCAGCGTCAACCTGCTGGGCTCTGGTGATCCTTCCACCTCAGCCTTCCAAGCAGCCGGAACTATAGGCGCATGATACTGCATCCAGCTAATTTTTGATTTATTGTAGAGACGAGTTCTCGCCAAGTTGCCTGGGCTGGTCTCGAACCCCTGGACTCAGGCAATCCTCTCATCTCCACCTCTCAAAGTGCTAGGATTACAGGCATGAGCCACTGTGTCCAGCCTCAAATAATTTTTAAAAATATGGTGCCATAAGTGAATGTGAAAAGAATCCTCAATTAATGGTAGTGGAATAAATGGCTGATGATTTGAGGAAAAATTCAATTTTCACAATAAATCTAAAAATTAGCTGAGTGTGGTGGCAGGTGCCTGTAGTTCCGGAGGATTGCCTGAGCTCAGCAGGTCGAGACTACGGTGGCCATGAGTGTGCCACTGCACTCCAGCCTGGGTGACAGAGTGAGATGCCAACTCAAAAAATCCAAAAAATATTTGAAGTTCTCTCGCAAATTATAGTGAATCTCTGGGATGCCTGTTTAGTCCCACACTGATGCCACATGCTTGTAATTATTCTTTTTGAAATGTGTTCAAATTTGGACCTAGAAATGATAAATATCCAGATTAATCTTTTGTGTGAGATCAGCAAATGGAGGAAGTATTGCCCCCAGAAGGCATGCAGGTAGTTAAGAGGTCTCTTTGTTATCACTTTGCAAGACTTTGAGTCTAAAAATCACTTCCTTAAGTAGGCAAGTCCTTTGGTCAATAGGTGAACAGGTAAGGGAGCGTATGTACTCTTGGGGACCAAACCAGGGAAGGAAGATGGCAATCCTCAAAATGGGTGGCTGCTGGGCGTTATGTATTAGTAGACAACAAAGATGTCAGAGCAGAGATGTCCAGGAGGCAGGAGGGTGTTGAGGACAATGTGGGTACTCTGCCAATCACCCAGGGCTGGCCCCGATGGAAGGAGGACTAGAAAGGCAGTTCAGTGTGCTGTAGAAATACCAGACTTAGAATTAAGAACCTAAGTTTACTCTTGGTATTGCCGTGTGAACTTGGAAAGCCTCAGTGTTGCTTCAGGTCTCTTGCTGGGAAAGGAGAATAGTGATGTCTAATGCCTACTTCATGGGGATCTTGTGACAATAAGTTAATCTATGTAAAAATACATTGAAATTTTGAAACTGCAATGAGAAGGGTTTTTATAAAAACAATACTTTTAAAATCAGGGACCTCTGACCAGGCACGGTGGCTCACATCTAATCCGTGCACTTTGGGAGGTGGAGGCAAGAGGCTCGCCTAAGCCCAGGGGTTCAAAATCAGTCCAGAAAACATGGCATGACTTCGATCTATAATAAATTTAAAAATTAGCTGGATGTGATGGCACACACCTGTAGTTCCAGCTACTTGGGAAGCTGAGGTGGAAGGATTGCTTGAGCCCAGTGGGTCGAGGCTGTGGTGGCCATGAGCGTTCCACTGCACTCCAGCCTGGGTGACAGAGTGAGACTCCGACTCAAAAAAAAGGCTAGGATAATAGGCGTGGTGGCTCATGCCTATTATCCTAGCACTTTGGGAGGCCGAGGTGAGAGGATTGCCTGAGCCCACAGGTTCGAGACCA